CACAGTACTCACGGGGATGCCGCCTCCCCAGACACCCGGCACGGCCAGGGCGTGTCTGCTGATGTGCCCCTCCAGCAGGTACTTGGATGCTCCGCCAGGGAAGAGCAGGAGGATGCTGGCTGCCATGGAGAGCGTGCCCAGGGCCAGCAGGCAGGGACCCACAATCCGGCTGCACTTCCCCACACACATCTCTGTCCTGCGTGGGAACGGGGAGGAAGAGGAGGAGAGGAAAGAGCTGCGTTCAGCCCCGTGGGGTCCCGCGGCTTCCCCACCCCGAGCCCATCCCACAGCTGTGGGAGAACAGGAGTTACTGGGTTGTGGGTCTGGGTTCCAGCCCACCGCACTGGCACTGCCCCTACTTGAGGGCAATTTCCAATGGAAATCCTGATATTTCTTTGCCGAACAGGCAATGGAGTTTATGACAACAGCAAGTCCCACACCAAGCCTTGAGACCTGTGTGACCTCAGGGTCGGCTCCTCCAAAATGTGTCCCTGCCCAGGGCTGGAGGGTTGGAACGAGATGGTCTTTAAGGTCCCAAACCAGTCTGTGATTCTGTGATAATGTTACTGCAGGGGGCAAAGCACCCACCACAGCTCAGTTTGGCCTTCAGTGTTTACAGCGAGCCAGGAAAGGGGCGAAATCCTTGGACAAGGACTTGTGAAGGCACATCAGTCTCCAACCAAAATCCAACAGCAACTCCACCCCTGTCATACATGAATCCTGCCATAGGTCTGAGTATGCTGAAACTAATTAAAGTCAATTAAGAAAATGTTATCCCCTACCCTTCACCTCCACTGACATCTTACTAAGTTATGAGTTCACCTATAAAGCACCTGCCCATCTCCAGGTGATACCTTGTCCAAAATTACTTCTCTTCTGTACCTACAAGACAGGGATCCCCATTGGTCACTCTGGGACCTCTGAAAACAACCTGGTTTGGTGCTACCCTGGTTCCCAGGTTTCTTCTACCCTGTGTTCTTTTTGCTCCAAGTTGGGTTTACGCATTTTCCCCTTTCCTGGTGGATTGTGACCCATTTTGCACAAGTTCCCCAGACTGAGCTGCTTCTGGCTCCGGATAATCTTTTTCAAGCTCGCTGCGGCTCTTTGCAAAGCAGAAGTGACTGTGGCACCACTGCACCACGTGGTTGTTGGGTGTTCCCGTGGGAAGAGCTGCCTCAGCCCCCTCGTGCGCCAGGGAGGAGCAGCTCAGGCAGCGCATCCAGCCCAGCACGGCCCGAGGGGCTGGGGAGCAGCCACGCCAGTCCCAGCAGGATGCCAGGGAGGGCTGAGCATGGAGGAAGGGGCTGGGAGACCTGTGTGGAGGGGACACGAGCCAAGATGCCCGAGAGGACCATCAGCTCCCCCCCATCCTGGAGTTCCACCTCCCCTCTGTTTTCCGTCCTCCCTGCCTTGGTTATACGGAATTTAGGGCCCCTCACCCTCAGCGTGGTCCTGCCTGCAGTCCAGGGATTGCACGTGGTTGTCCTCCCCCTCCAGCCATGAGTGTCCGGTGCTGAGTCCCCACCACGGGGGAGCTCCTGCTCCTCTGAGCTCACAGCCCAGGCTCTCACCAGCCAGAGTTTTCTGCAACTTCAACCTCTCCAAGGATTCTCCTTCCCCTCCACAGCTGCCCTCTCCCTGGGGACGGCAGGAGGCCTCTTTCCCCTAGGAAGCTCCCTATGGTGTGCTGTCCCCTAAAACGTTCCCCTTGAAGAAGCAGCTTCCCCCTCAGCCAGCACAGACGAACCCCTGTGCGAGGGGAGGCAAAGCCAAAGTCCAGCTGACCCAGTCTTCCTCAGGACCCTCAAAAGCCTCAACCCTTCCGCCAGCACATCTCCATGGAAAAGCACGGGGATTCCAGCAAAGCCCAGGGAACCTGTCCTCCCTGCTTCCTGGCTTACCTGGCAGTGAAGCCACGTGGCGTCAGCAGCGTCCACCCCTCAGAGGAGCTCTGTGCTGGAGGCATCTCCCCCCAGCTGACTATTTATGATGCCCCAGGGTGTGCTCCCTGTCTTCCCCCTCCCACCCGACGTCCGCCCATGCATCAGTCATGATCCTTCCATTCAAAGGTGACTGTCCCACTGAATGAGCCAGATCTTCCGGCGCTGTGGCTGATCCTTCTGCACGGTCCTTCCCCCTTTCACTGCCAGAGTTCATCAAAACAGGCACAATTTCAGATTTTAAGGCTTCTACCACTTCTGCACTAAATGCCTCCACCGCTGAGAAGCCGTTGCTCCTGTGGTGACTATGTTGGGAGAACACTCCCCTCTCTCACTAATATTTTAATAAAAGCTTCTAAATAAGCATTCTCATGTCTCAGCTGGTTCCTAACTCCCACCTTTTTCTTCCTCACAGGTGGCCCAGCTTTTCCTCAGGTGCAGAGTATATCTCATGCCTTGGTGACAAGATTGAGAGGGAAAGGTTTCTGGACATCTTAATTATTACAAGTCCTCGGACACCACCTTTTCCCATCGGAGGTGCCCAAGGCTGGCAGTTACTGTGCAACAGGGAAACTCCTCTGCTACTCCCACAGGGAAGGTCTGACAGTACAGGAACAGGATCGGGAGAACGTGGATGATCTTTGTGCCCGAGAACAGGAGACAGAGAAACTGTAGCACCAAAAAATGGCAAAAATGGGGCAGTTTTGTTGGCAGAGGAGTTGCAGGTGGCACGAGCAAAGACAAGAACAGATTGTGGGCTGTGCAGGCAGAAGGAAGAATCTTCTCCAAGAAGAGTTTTGAGATGGCTCCTATTCCTTGTGTGTTCATGAGGACCTGAGGCACATCAGCTGCTTGGGACAGGGGCTTCCCAACCCACCACGGCTGCGAAGCCGGGTCAGTGCCCTGAGAGTCTTGCTCTGATGCTGTAAGTAAAAAAAGCACCTGTAGTGCTGCCTTCTGGTCCATACCCTAACCTGCTCTACCCAGGGTGACCCACACCCCTTTGCTGATGTGTTTCAAAGTGGCTTTTCCTGCTTTCAAATCATGAGTCGAGGATATAAATCGTGCTCCCAGACAGGAAGAAATAGAAGGTGGAGTTGGAGCCCTCAAGAGTCACATGGGAAAACATGAATGGGTGAGGCCAGGTCACATCAGGCAATTCTATTCCTCTAGGAAAAATGAGAGGAGCAGATTATCCAACAGCTCCTCTGAAAGGAAAAATCAGAGTCTGCAGCAGCACGTAAATTTCTATTTTATGCCTAAATAAGGCAAATTGGTCTCTAAAAGGCAGACAACAGCAAAGGCAAAACATGCAGGACAGCAGAGTGCCGAGAATAATCCAATTTCTCCTTCCTCTCTTTTCTTACTTAGAAAGAGGGGAAGCGTTCCTTTGCTCCTGGAAGAAAATGTGTTGCAACCTCATCTTGTGCCTTTCCTACGTCACGGCGATCTGAGCTTCCCACGTTGCCCCACACATGATCTGCTCCATCATCTCCCACAGGAAACCTCCTGCCACGCAGCGCCGGGGCAGCGTCAGGGAGAATCTGGGATTGCTCATCTGCCCCTTGTACCCATAAGAGTAACCATAATAATAATAATAATAATAAAAGGCTAATTTTAGCCCAGCACGGGAGGGGCTCTGCCCCTTGTACCCATAAGAGTAACCATAATAATAATAATAAAAGGCTAATTTTAGCCCAGCACATGAGGGGCTGTGCCCCTGCCTTTCTCACACGAGAGCTTCATTGTGAAAGCACCAGCACAGCAATTATGGGCAAGGAGTTTGCTGCCAGGCCACTCAGTCATGGCACAGCCAAACCTGGTCCCACGTAAAGCAATTCCAGCTCAGCAAGGTCCTTCTCTGATTTCTCCTCGCAGCTTCTTTGCTTCCCTGCTCCCCTTGCCCAAACCCTTGTGGGGCTGGGGAAATTGCACAGGTTGGGTTTCAAGAGTGGTTTGGCTTCAAGGAGAACCAGAGGCTGAGCTGAGTTGGAAGCGCTGAGATGAAACCTTTCTGTGCCAAACCAGCCTCCACCTCGGTCCTGGCCAGAGGATGCTCAGCACAGTGGTCCTTCCTGCTCCTCTCTGCAAATCTGTTTGTAGAATCTGCAAATCTATTTCTGCCACGAGTCAGCCATGACTCCTCCAAAATCCCCTCGGACAAGCCCTGCAGGGAGTCTGTGGCTAGAACTGACTGAACAAATACCAACACGATGCTGCTGGACAGGATTTGCTTCAGTGCCCTTATGAATGTCTCCTGAATTAATACTTCAGATAAACCAATCCCGTTAAAAATCAGAAGAAGTCTGCAGAAAGGAAAAATAAATTAATTAAACCCAAGAAGTATCTTGAGTTTGAGGTGTCCCTGTAGTTCCTTGACCTGCAAATGAAAAAAGATTTCCACGCCAGTAGAATAGGAAATATTTTCTTCCTAAGCTACACGAAGAGATCAAGGTGTTTTCCAGCTTCAAACAGGGCAAGACCATGGCAGTGGCTGAGGTCACTGTTTCAGGGGAGACCTACCTACAGTCAGGAACACGAGGATGACCCAAAATTAGTTTCTTAATTATTGTTACCCTACTGTACCTGCCAAGTCCTTGTCCAGAAGGGCCTCTGCTCATCGACATTTCACGTGAGGCCACAACAGGAACATCCCAAGATGCCCCACAACAATTGCAGAAAGCAGAGGCTCTGCCTTGACAACACCTGTACCAGGAGGACACTGACAGGTCAGAACAGAAAGCCCCATTTTCTCTGCTCTTCCAACTGGAAGGACGGAAAATCCTATCCCTGCCTCTTTTTATTCATTTCCATAAGGGTGTTTTTCCTATCAGGGTCCCAAAAGTTTGTCTCACTTCAAGATTTTGTACCCTCTAGAATGGGCTGAAGTTTTCTTGGGCTAAGCAAGCAGTGCACTGTCATCAACAGTTCCTTATCCTTCTACCCCAGTATCCCTAAGGAAAAGCTCTGGAACTCCCCATGTAACACAGGGACAGACTTTCATTAGAACTAAACCAACAAATAAACCCCCAAACCAAAAAACCAAGACCTGAAAAAAGCTACTGAAAACAGTTTGTTTTATTTCCAGGATCAAATATTACAATAGGACATTTACATATATTTATAAAAAATGCAGCAGTTGTGTATATAGATCAGAGGTTTCCTTGAGTTTGGTCCCTCCCAGCACAGTGAGCTGAAATCTTCCAAATGAATCCTCTCCCTCCTCCCGTGTGAAGTCGACATCACTGAAGAAGAAAGCGACCGTTGTAAAAAGTTGTAACTTCAAACTGGATGTTCCCCAGTTCGAGGAAACAGCCTCATTTTAAAAAAAAAAAATCATCTGTCCTAGAGTGTGGTGTCTGTGACGAGGCACCACGTCTCTGAGCTGAGTTTTACCCAGAGGTTCTTCATATAAATCTGGTCTATAAAATAGCACCTCGTCCCCTGCTCTGCAGACAGTTCCTGGATCCTTCCACGCCTTAAATCTCAGCACCATTTCACAAGCAGTTACACAATGACTTTTCTCTGTACTGCAGACACTCACAGCAACTAAAGCCAGTGACCAAGTCCTGGATTTCTGCCATCACTCACAAGGTACCCATGGAAAACCCCGGATAACCCCAAGGCAGGCTGAGGCACCGATGCTGAGTGCCGCGCTCTCCGATTCAGAACACGTGTGTGTATGTACATATGGCTCTATTTATTGGGAGTGGACAGACACCAAGCATCTCATGGACAAGAGGAGACAGGAATAAAAGTCATCACAGAAAGGGTATCCATTAACCTTCCCAGCTCCAAATCCAAACACACCCGTGGGCACTTCCAGCGACCCAGATGGCCAACGCAGGGCTCAAGGTCAGTTTGCTTTGTCTTTGAAACAGGAGCTGTTCGGTTTGTAGAACATAATTTGTTAAAATAAATAAATAGAAAGGGTGAGGGAGAGCAGAGGCTGGATCTGAATCTATTAGAACAGCCAGACGAGGCACAGCCCGTTCTTATGGGACAGCGACTTTGCTCTTCCCCCACCAAAAGCACATCTCTGCCACCCCTTCTCCTTTTGGAATACAAGACCACCTGTTTTATCAACTTGATCAAAAAGGGATTAAACCAGAAGAAAGCAGTGACATTTAATACAAACCAAAAAGGAATAAAAATTAAGTGACAAGTTCCTGAAATGACACAGATCTTTCCACTTGCACCGACATTCCCACACAGGTCTCTATGTTCATAATCTGTTTTTATGTGGTTTAGACAAACAACCACAAACACCACGGTTCTGCATCTCTGCAGTGTTTGGTACCTGACAAAACACAGCCCAAGTGATGCTTTGCCCCCAAAAGAAAATTGGTTTTAGTTTAGCCCTTGTTGCTCAAGTCCCCGTGAACAAGCTCAGTGCTCCGGGAGGAACAGGAATTTGAGACCCTTCAGCAGGGAGGTGGAGTTATTAAAACCTGAACTAAACCCAGGTTCTGCAAGGGCACAAACCACAGCACTGGCAGAAGGGGGAGCTGCAGAAGCTGGTGCAGGTGAGTGAACAAATTTGGTAATCTTTAGAAAACGTGGCTCTGAAGGACGTGGACCTTGTGAAACACAAGCTGGACAGAGCAGAGGTGTCACCTCCCCGTAACAGAGAGGCAAAAGGTCAGGGAGCTCTGGGAGGAGCTGATGGAAAATTCTTGTTTAAATCTCCTTAGGAACAACAGTACCTTTGAATGCCTTTTATAGCCCACTATACCTTACAAGGCTATGTGCACATACTGGACATTCCTTTAATATTGGTGGTGTTAACGGAGCTGATTTATCAGGAAAAGCAACACACTTCAATGTCAGAAATTGTAAAAATCACAGACCTTAATTGAAAGCCTAACAAAAATAACCCAAGTATGACCAGAAATGTTTGGCACAGCCTTCACCTGCCCTTTTGACATCATGCTGTAAGGCTGAAGCTGGTCAACCAGCTTGACTTAAGAGCATGTGGCATCAGGAAGATCCAAAATCCTTTTGTGGACCTCTGAAGGATCACAAGTGGGCAGTAAATGTGTCAGCAGCACCTGGCAGGGAAAGCCAGTGCTCATTTCACCTTCTGTTTGTGAATCCAGGCTGTGACTGGGACTATTGGACATCAAATCCCAAAACGAAGCCCTGTGGGATGAAGAGCACAGGCAGAGGAAATAGCCCTGATGAGTTCTCTGCCCAGAAAAGCCTCCACTGCCTACATGCACTGCTGCTCCTCCAAACCCAGCCCTTGCAACACCACATGCAAATTCTGACCAAGCAACACCCACCAGAAGCCACAAATCACAGCCATTAAAGGATTTGTTTCCTTTGTCCTTTGTATGTCAAGATCTTATTTCACAACCAGATCTAAGGCATTTTTTCCAGCCTGTCAAAGGCAGTTTGAGCTGCAGATTTCACATCCAGAAGTGACTGTTGCAAAGGCTCTTTAAATAGTGTCCAACGAGCCCTCACCTTCGCTGCTGTCCCAGCCACAGCTTGGTTCATGTTTTCACCCCCGTTCCTCAGGACAGCAAAACACATCCTCCCAAGGGCTTCAACGGGGATGAAGATCTGAAGGGGTTGTATCCTGGCTGGTGCTGTTTCTTAACAGCTTTCAGGCCCCACAGCACAGCTGACTGACACATGTGCCACAGCACTGGGTGTTATTTGGGTTGGGAAGAAGGGAGAGAGGGGAGAGGAATGAAGGGAGAAAAGAGCCACGTGTAGGGACACACATTCCCTAAACATTCTTTTCTCTGTCTCTTGCTCTCAAAGCAAAGCAAAAGAAAAACTGATAGAAAAAACACATTGTGCCACAGAAACCAACAACAACAACAAAAAGCAAGGATCATGATTTCTCGGAACAGAACAAACTACTAGAAACCAAAAGATGGGAGAAAAATCCCATTTCAATGTAAATCTTCAACTTCATGTTCTTCTTTCCCTGCTAGAGCAACTCCTGGTGTCCTCACAGAGCTCACAGCCCAGTGAGTAGGTGAGTACACACCAGGGAGGGGCTGGGGGAGAGAAGCTGCCCATAAACCAGACCTGGGAGTGAGAGGGCAGAGTCAATTCTGCACATCTAACCACAGGAAAGCTGCTGCGGGACAACATCCCCAGAGGGGATGCAAAGCCAGGCCTGTCCAAACTGAGCTAGGCCTCCACCAGCCAACACAGCCAAGCAGCCACAACGCAGAGAGGACCCTGGAACCACCAAGGGTGCACGGGCAGGAGAGCAGGGAAGGTCCCTGTGCTCCCACTGCCCAAGGGACACGAGGGGCTGTCACTCTACACCTGTTGGGTTCTGCCTCCTGTTGGCAGCTGCCTTCACCTGCCTGGGGCTGACCATGGAGGAGCAGCAAACAGTGAATTATTCCAGCTACACAGCTGCTTCAGGAAGCACTAGATCTACATGGAAACACAAGTTATGGATCTGGATATCCCAGAAACTAAAGGATCCTTCAGTCCAGAGGTGTCCCTGCTGCTTCACAGGCCAAACACAACCCCCCTCTCCTCTGCTGCCCTGGCACCTCACTGTCCCACGCTGGGAGCTGCTTCCATGACAGGGTGTCTTTACAAACCAAAATGTCATCTGGTGATACTGATCAGGAAACTGGGGTCAGATTTTGCTTTTCTGACACTACATCCTGCAGTAGAATGCAGCCAGTGTTCGTGTAGAAGGGAAATCAATTTATACAACTGCATGATTACATGTCAAACCCAATTATGAGCAGAAGACAGCTGTGAGCTCAAATTCTCCTGGGGAACGCAAGACATTTTCTGTGATTCCTCACATTTAAGGGCTCCTAAGTATCCAGGCTAGTATGAAACTAAAGGCAAAATATCTTGAGAAGTTTGAACACGGTAAATTTCTGACTACTGAAGTCTTTAACATGTACCATTATCTGAGAGGGGCAGAAAAAGTCAGCAGTTATGGCAGGTCCCAGCTGCCTTTCTCCTCGCTGAGGAAGAGCACGTCAAATCGAGTTTTCAGTTGTAAATACACAAATTCACCAACCACCCTGGTGGCTGTGCTGGTTAACTCCTGTCCCACTGTAACACCTCCTGAAACACCAAATGATCAACAGCTCCACGTCTACAGAAGACACTGGAGGAAAAACAGGGCACTGACTTCTGGTGCCAACTTCCAGAGCTGAAAGGAAAGCCTAAACAAAGGAGCAGCTTTCCCATGCAGCCCCCCCAGCCTTAAAGGTAAGTGACAGTAGATGAACATGGCAATAGAATAAAAATCATCACAGAGAGTTCAAGCCACCAGGCTGGGAAGCTTTTTCTGAGGCATTAATTCGTGCCAGTCACTCCTGGGAAAACCAACCAAGACACTGTGCCAAGGGAAAAAAAGCCAACTAACTGTCAAGTCTGTGGCAGGTGTTTTCAGAGTCCCAGATCTCCACAGTATCACCTTCTGTAATCATTTGCAAAATCCCGAGAGCAAGTAAGAAGACACTTTGAGGATGTTGGGAAGAGAACCTGGAAAACCCAACCACTCCCACAAAGGAGTCAGTTCTGCTCCAGCAGTGGACACACAGCTTTCCCTCTGGGCCAAACAGTCAATCTCAAATAGAGCACAGTTGGCTTTTTTGGGGGGGTTGGTTGGTTTTTTTACTATGTCCACTGGCAGTTTAAAGCAGGAGGAAAACATGAAGTCAACCTAGAAGCTTTTAAATTAGATGGGGGCAGAGTACTTTACCACAGCTCAACCCAACTCCTTCCCAAAACCAGAGTGTTGGGTAAGTGAACCCTTGAGAAGGCTGGAAGGTTAATGGACACCTTTCATGTAGGGAATCCAAACAAAGGAAAGACTGTCCTGAAGATTACGCTCTCTCCTTAGAGAGATGACTCAGTGCCTTATCACACACTGTTTTCAAAAATAAATTAAACAAAACAGATTTAAGAATAGCAGCGAGAAGGGTTTGTGTATTATGGCCACTCCAAGCTTCAGCACGCTGGACACACCGATCACCGTTTCACTTTATCCCAGGAAAGCAGAGGGAAGATGTTCTTCCCAACGCTCTCCGCAGCTGAGAAAGAAAATAAAACTCTGAGCACTCTCATTTGGTCAGTAGAGCAGGAGAAGGGAGGAAGAGAGAGGAGAAGGGAGGAAGAGAGAGGAAGAGAGGGAAGGGCCAGTCAGCTGCCTGTCTGATTCCAGCACTGCAATCCTATGACCCTTAACTGCATATTTAACAAGTCGGTGTTCCAGGCAAAGGGAAGAGGGGAGGAAGGCTGGGAGAACTCAGGCCACAGTGCTAATTCCTTTCCTGCACAAAGACAGTCTCTTGAGGACACAGGCCTGCCTCCTGTAACGTGATCTCATAGTCCAGGTGGGAGAGTTTCCTCCGGGGGAAGTTGGTGAGCAGTTCAAAGCGTTCGTTGGGGTATCCTTTGGACTGGACGTGTTTCACAAGGGCCTGGAGAGAAAGAAAGGCAAAGGAGTGTCACAGAATTCAAAAGAGGAACCTAATACACGTAAGACAAACTATACATCATAGGACACAATTGCAAGAAATAAAAAATAAAATTTGCAAATAAAATAAAAATGTGGAAAAGTGGAAAAAATTGAAATAAAATTGGAAAAAGAAGCCTTAAATGCCCCCAAATAAAAGCCCCCTCACTTGTTTATCAGATACCTTATCCTAAACCTAAATGCTACCAAAGAGGCATTTTTTTGTGAGGTAGCACTGACCAAAATAAATGCAGGACTTTTACTCATTATTTTTTTTCTTGCCTTCAAGAAGCAGGAGGGTTTGGGGTTGTTTGGTTTGTATTTTTAAAGCTCTTTTCAATTCACTGACTTCTCTGCCTACAGTGGCAATTGGAGCAGGATACAGAGGGCACTGGGATGAAGGGGCATCAGCCTCACAATCCAACAAGCAGAGGCATCAGGAAGAGCTCATGTCCATGCTGTGATGAGGGAAATTTCCCAAGTTCATCAGGAAATACAGCGGATAAGAGCATAAATTAGGAATAGAGAAGTGGAGATAGGCAGAAGAAAAGAGGATACTGCAACAGAGCAAGACACAGGCAGAATGAAAAGCTGAAGCTTTTTTAAGAGAGGGGGGGAAAAAGACAAATGTCTTGTATGCAATAAAATAGAAAGTGTGAAAAAATAGGGGGAGTTTCAACACTACTGTTACATAGTTTTTGTGGATCACTTATGCCAGTAAATTCCAGCAGCCTGCAGCACTCTTCTGGAACAGGTTACCCAGAGAGGTTTTGGACTCTTGATCTCTGGAAGTGTCCAAGGCCAGGTTGGACAGGGCTTGGAACAACCTGGTCTCGCGGAAGGTGTCCCTGCCCATGGCAGGGGATGGAACTGGATGAGCTTTAAGGCCCGTTCCAACCCAAACCATTCTGTGATTTTATGATGGAAGGGGCTCCTGAAGGACCCAACCTCTGACCTAACCCACTCTTGGAAGCTTGCTGCTTGCCTAGAGATCCAGGATGTCACTGGTATGATTTTGGTGGGATTATCATCACAGTGTTCCAATGTAACAACGACAGAGGCATTTCTTTCCCAAAGATGCACGGTGAGGAGAGACAACACACACAAGCTGCCCCAGGGGCAATTTCATCTGGATATTAAAAAGGAATTCTTTATCATGGGAGAAATTAAACTTTGGAGTAAACTTCCCAGGGAAATAGTGCCATGTCCCTTGCTGGAATTATTCTGGACTCAGCTTGAGAGGGCCCTGGACAAGCTCATCTACAGCCCTGCTTTCAACAGGAGGTTAGAGCAGGTGATCTCCAGGGATTCTGTTCAACCTGGACTTTTCCAAGGTGTGATGAGTGCAGAACAGACAGGGAAGGACCTGCATGGAGGTTTCCTCCCAATTCCTCAAAATCCACACACAAACCTTTGGCAGGAGGAGACTGTTCCCCAACCTCCTCCTTTACCAGGACTGGTCTCCAACTGACTTTGCAGGTTACAATGCCTGTGTCTGATGGGGAATGCAGGGAAGTGGGCTGACTTCCTTCTCAGGCAACAAGGATGATCACAATTCCTTTACAAACCACTGGATTTAAATATTCAGTCAAGTTTCCTGCCCATGTCCCTCCTTGTCCCCTTTACAAGCCAGTCTTTCCTGCACACCCGAAACACTTGGCAAACAAAAGGTACTCAGGGGAGCTGAGCTGCTGAACAGAGTAAACTTAATTTGTACATAACGAACAACTGCTCCTGTAAAAAGGGTGGAAATGGGATTATGGTAATACTGGAAGCATAAGCACCTCCTGGAAACAAGAGCATGTAAAGAAGCCACACTTGATTGATAAAAACACAATGATTAAAAATAGAACACTTTTAAAACCAGCCAGTACTGGTGGGTATCATCAGTTAAAACCCCTCAAGTGCAACTGTCTCCTTAAACAATTTATTTTTCTAGTTCTGGCCAGTTTTAAAATGGAAATCATCATGGAAATGAGGCTCACAAAGAAACACCTGAGACTCAAATCTTGATCTGACTGAAACGGCTTTAGAAGATCATATGAGGTGAGCACACAAGCTGCCTGCTCAGCTCTGCAATCAAAAGATATCTTTACCCACAAACCTTGACTCAGCTCAATTCCTCTGCTGACTGTAGAGCAGAAAGGAAATCACATGCTGAGATAAATTTCCTTTAACTTCCACAGTCCATAAAAGGAGTCAAACCAGAAGGCAGGATTACAGGGGATATCTCAGTATCACACCTATGTACTGCCTAAATAAATCCCTTAAGTATTCAAAAGTGCTACATGTTTAATAACACACACAAATTTACTTAGCAGGCTGCTTTCAAAAAGCAGTTAAGCTTTTTTTTTCCCATTTAGTTTCAAGCAGGAGAGTTAAGAGCATGAGCTCAGGACACTGTACATTCCTAAAGTGCTGCAGACTAGGTGATAGCCTCACTTTCTGTATGAGGTAGGACACTTCTCTCCCAAATCTGCACAAAATCCTTCTGAAGAGGTGTTCTTTTGCTTCCCTACAACTATTAGGTTGATTACACAAAAATGAGCTTAACTGATCTCCATGCCCTGAGAGCTCATGGCTAACAGGAACATGGTGACCTCTCTGCACCCACAAAATCTGCATGGAAATGCCACCCACATCGACTTCTCCAAGGGAAGTGAGGCCAAAGCACAGCTGAAACTGTGAATTCACAGTGAAACTGAAATTAATATTGTAATGAATTTGTTTGGGGAGAACTTCCTCCAAAGTCTGCCGTGTCATCCATGCCCAGAAGGGAGGGTGGAAGTACGATGGGAGCGATGGAGAACGAGAATGAGGAGTTTTGCTTTTGCTTTTACCAACCCAACTTTTCCATTTAGAAACAAAGTCCCACAAATGAGTGAGCTGAGGGTGTTTTATGGTAATTAATCATTAATGCAGAAGCCACTTAGAGCCACCACAGAATGGAAATGAGCAGTTTGGGGATTAAGGAAGACACTGGAGTGTACTGGGAACCCAAGCAGCAACGGCAACGCACAGAGCGAGCAGGGTCTGCTGATCAGAGAGGAGTGATATGGAACACAACAGAAGGACAGTGAAAGCACTCCCTGCATAGACCTCTTCCACTAGATCTGATTTCAACAGTGCCAGAGGTACAGTAATTCTCCAGGTTCAGCCCTCCTGTACTCAAACAAGGATTCCCATTAACACCACTCACCAGAAGTTTAGCTTGTTCGGGCAGTGAAACTTGTTCCCTCTTTCCATCTGGATACCTCAGCATCAGCTGTGCCTTTGGTCCTACAAAAAGGAAGTTACTGCAAGTTAACAACAGGACTTGAGTTGAGTTCTTGCATAGATTTTAGGTGCAACAGCACAGCAGGGTTAGGGACTGCAGACAAACACAGGGTTCCAGTCTATGAAGATGTATTTCTGCCACAGGAACTTAAATATACACATCAAACTCAGGACTCTTCCAAAGCAGTGGTGACTGGAACCAGTCAGTGTGCCCAGAGCACACTGCACCTGCATTACACCAGTGCATGCTTTACTCCTGGGCAAGGTCTCAAACTAAGAAACCTGAGCTCAGGGAATTGGTCACAGCACCAACCCTGCCGGAGCTCAAGGAGTGTTTGGACAACACTCTCAGGGACAGGGTGGGATTGTTGGGGTGTCCTGTGCAGGGCCAGGAGTTGGACTTGATGATCCTTATGGGTCCCTCCCAGCTCAGGAGGTTCTGTGGCACTATGACTAACAGGACTCTGCAGGCTGAGCCAAAGTGGGGCTGCTGCCACGGGGAATCGGTGTCTGGTGGCAAGAAGTCAGTAAATCAGAAGAGATTCAGCTTTTTAAAACCAAGGATGAAACCATGCCTGCCAGAGTATAAACAGTTTCAAAGAAAAAAAAAACCACAGCAAAAGCCAGGCCATGATAAAAAGTGTTAACTCACCATTCACATCTAGGCCCCGAAACGTACTCTCAGGCTTGTCCGGCGACTCCTCCGGCGTTCCCGCATCGATGCAGGGCACAACTCTGTGGTTGGATGTTGTCCCAGGCTCAGTCCTTGCAGGGGCCTCAGGCTGAGGCCTCCGGCTCTCCTCTTTTTTATACCCCAAGTCCTTGTGTGGAGACTTCCTCAGCTTGGCAGGAATCTCCGATTCCTCCTCCTCCTCAGAGCCGCAAACTGAAATAAACTCCTCGCTTCCAGAGAAGAGCTCTGACTCCGACTCCTCATCCGACCGACTCTCCTGCTTGGCCTGCGAGGAATCAAAATGTGTCTCCTGCAGGGAGGCTCTGATGGCAGCTTCCAGCTGGCTGTCCTCACTGGCATCGATGAGACTCTCCTGTGGAATGCAAGCATGACACAAATACATCAGGACCGCTTTGAAACCAAAAGGGCATCAGTCTTCCAAAGGGAAGCTGCTAAACCTGTCAGGAACAAACAGCAGGGAAAGCTAGTCATGCTAGTATTAGTTAATGGCTTCTCCTTGGAGTTCTGCATGGAGTAATCCATTTTCCTCTCACACATGCTGTTAAATCCAAACCAAATGCTGAAAGCACACACTGCACAACAAAACGGTGATCCTGGGAGAAGGCATTCCCTTGTATTTTTGCATGCCCTTGCACTAACTCTGTGAGTCTGCCTGGGAAATCAGTGGAGCTGGATAAAGACAGGTCAGAGAGCTCTTTCAGGTGCCTCCAGTCCTGCCAAAGGGCCTCATACTCACTGAGCGAGAGCATTTCTGGGGAGGGCTGGTGGAATGCCCGTCCAGCTGGCCATGCTCACTCAGGAACCCAGTCACTTGGTCCAGGAAAGAAGTCACATCCAGCTGGTGCCACTCCACGAGCTTCTGGCCTAGGGAACAAAAGGCATCGTGAAACATCATTTCAGCAAAAAATTGCAGTTCAGCGGTCAAACACACCAACTCACTGCTGCAAGAGTCCGTATTTGTGGAACTGCAGCTTCCCACAGGCTACCACCTGATAATTATGGAGCTTCCTTCTTCCACTCCCTTGAAAAGGGACAGACATAAATACAGACTCAGTTTATTTCCTTCTTTTCTTTATATTTATGGGAACATGAGCACAGAATGGCGAATTTGTCTTCAAAATGAATAAACACCAAACCACTTGGTTTATGAAGAAGTACTTCTACATTCTTGCTAAATTGATTCCAACCCTTGGCAAACAGCATTTGTTCCCAGAAGTAAAGTGCTAAGAAGAGTATCCTAACTTCGGTTGCAACATTAAAAAATATATATATTTCTGGCTGGTTTAAATCAAATCTCAGCTTTGATCACAGACATTATTACTTCAGTCCTTAGAAGCAGGAGACCAGACAAGCATTATATGACCTGACAGCTGCATTACATGATGATAAAAGAAGGTGTTGGGATACAAAAGAAAAAGTAACACTTTTGAAAGAACTGGAGGGAGAGGCAGAAGTTTGACTGTTCAGGTAAAAACTCCAAACAAACAACCAAAAAACCCCCCAAACAACAAACCTGAAGCCAAAACAGTATTTCAGAATTAAGATGCATTTTAAAAAGTCACCACTGAGCCTCACAAAAATAGTGTGGAAGGAGCAGGAAGCCGATTCATGTAGTGCTTACAAATATTGTGGTTTATTCATCATATGATTTCAAGAAGCTTTTAAAAGGAGAGTTAAAGAAAAGAATTAAAGTCAGAGTTTTGCCACCAGGTGGAACTATTTTCACCTCCTAAGCAAAGTACTTGCTAAGCTTCAAATACACGAGATTTCTGCAAGTTTGGGGTGTTTTATTCCCTTAGTTCCTCCAGAACTGTGTCACTGCTTCAGCGACAACAAGGTCTCGCAGAGATTCTTCAGCCCAATGTAACACCAACTGCAGGGGAAGGTATTCCAGCCTACAACTGCCATGGGATAACAATTCCAGGTAACCAACTGTCACGTGCCTTACCTGTCCTGGGATCCAGGATAGAGACATAAGGGAAGTCTGCTAATTTATAGAACTGGATGTACCGCTGTCCTTCCTCGCTGTCATGGTACACCTGCAAAACACCACGTTGGGCAAATCAGTGGCTGGAGAGGGAACACAAACAAACTGTGCCTTGAAAACGCACCAAGTTTTTCTCTTGTTTTACAGTATAAACTACAAAAGGTACAAACAGTTCTCAGTAACTGTGACAAGCTGAAAATATGCCTCCACCTCTCCATGTATTAGAAGCTATGTGGCAACACCTCGACTGCACAAGTGAAAGGCAGTTTATGCATTCAAATGCATACCCATGAATTACATCTACATCCATAAACTACACACCAAGACACACACCTCTGCAAGTTCAAGAGAATTTCACTATGCCACTGCATTCAAATAAGTCCTTTATATTTTTTATTTTTTTTTTACTGTTCCATCTACCAAGGCCCCAAGTCACTCGGACATCCAGCCCCATTCCATTTCTCACCTGCCAAAAAATGAAGTGGTCCCGGATGATGTTCTTCACGGCCTCGTTGCTCCAGACATCGCGGTTGAGACACTGGCAGGCAAAGTCTTGCACGTTCTGAATGTTTATCATGAGCCACTTGTTCTGCATCTGACCACACTCCTTGGCCTGGAAGCAGAGAGGAAAGCTTTGTGAGATCAGACTGAAGAGCCAGACACCACCAATGATCAGAGATGGCTTCTAAAACTGTCAGACCTTCCACCAAAACCCTTCCCAGTGAGGAAGATGGACAGAGCTAGTGAAAAGGCATCCACAAGACAGAAGGCAGGGCTGAAGGATCTGCTTTAAATGAGCCTGGCTGAATTACAGAATCACCACATCGATGAACAGAGCTGCTGGATTTTCAACAAGCCAAGCACAGGGTGGGAAAAGCAACTCAGAGGGGGGACACACATGGCGATGCTGAATAAAGTATTTATTCAGGAAAAAGTGTAGTCAGTCACACTGGTCTGACAACAAAGACCTGCTCAGTCTAAAGATAAACCCGTGGATCATCTAGTTAAATAGGTTGCATAATTGACAGAGGACTTCCATTAATTCAACAGGACCATTTTGCTATTTTGCTGTTTTCTTTTTCCTCTCCCAGTTTTGAGTTACTCTATGACTGTCCAACTGCCCAATTAGGCATCCTTTTTTGATGCTCCTTATCCAGACTGCAAGTGGGGAGGAAGACAAGAAGGCGCAGGAAGAGATCTTACTGGTTTGAGTCACAAAGCTGGCACTGTCTGATTGCCTGGTTGCAAGTTAATGGTAGGAGTTTGATCAAGAATGTAATTCTGATCGCTGAACTGTCATACCTGTTGAAAAAAAGAGGGCTAGATCAACAGCAGGAATGCTCTTACCACCTGGAAAGACTGGAACTGGCATAGGAACTCCCTTTGCTTTCAAAAATATATATTTTTAAGTTATGTTCACCATCCTGCTGGTAATGTGCTGTCAAGGAATTCAAAGGAAAAAAAATTTCAGAGGAACCAGGATGTTATGCAAGATTTTGCTGTTTTGGGCACTACTGTGTTGCCCAAACCAAAGTTTTACTTCTGAAATGAATTTTAGCCAGTGTAGCTTGGAACAGTCAGTCTGTCCACTGCATGACAGACAGACATGTGAACCCCACACACTCAGCTTCACCAAGGCAAGAACCTCAGCCAACAAAATCCATATGCATGGCCAAGTGACCTGCAGAGACACCTTTTGTTTCACTCAAAGGAAAAAAAAAATGAATGTAGAAGCATGGAACAGTCCTGTTCTCAAAAGGGGCCTCCCACTGACTACTTACCACTAATATCAAACTGCCAAAATCCAGTATTTGGTCACCAGGTGAGAAAAGTGGGGCAGGTGACATTTAAGTAACTGGTAAGGGTCTTAAATATAGTCATCATGCTTTTATTTAAGACTTGTTTTGAGCTAACTGTGGGTTTTGAGAATTTAATCTAGGAAATCAGTTTAAGACAAGGCCTAGAGGTAGTGCCCAAATATATAGGGAACAAAAATCCTTATGTGACTTGAGCCAATTGGATTGCCTTAGTCCTGTGTCCTAATCTAATTTGTACTGGATTAAAAGAACAAACTCAAAAATATGTAATTAGAAAGCTGGAAAGTGCATCTCGCTCTTCTGCACTTTGTATACTTTTCAATATTAATGAAAACCTCTTGCTCTACCTCTCCTCTGTCCAGCTAAAGTCCTTTGAAGGATGGAAGCAGGAAATTCCACACAGAACATTTGCAAAGATGAGTTTTCACCTGTAGAGCAGGTAGAGCATTTGAAACTACTTTGAACTTTCTTCCAAAAACAGGCTTCAGATTTACCATTTAAAAGGTCACAGTTAAACTGCTGTTATCTCACACCCACAGCTCTGCTCTTACACTGCTCCTGGGATTCTTCAGAGGGGGTGGAAGGAGAAGAGTGTGGGGGAAAGAAATGCTGAGGGTTTGGAGATTATATAGGTGGGTCATTTGGTAAGTGACAAAAGAACAAGGGAAGGCTCAAGAGCTGCCTTGTGTATCCCAAAAGCTGCCTGATGGATTTAGATCCACTGTTTCCATCCCCAACTGCCCCCCATTCTCCTCCCCCTTCGATGGACAAGGGCCAGCACCAGGCACTTAGAGAGCCCACAGACAGGGCACTGCAGAACAGCCACTCTGAGAGCAGAGCCAGTGGAACTCGGATGCAAAAACCAAACCAAACCACTCCAATCTGTCCCAAGTCTGCCTTTACCCTTTCCCAGCCACATTTTTCATCACTACAACTTAGAGCAGCAAACTGGTCAGACAACCTGTGAAACAACTCTTGGTTTACACCCAGTGCTGCATCTCACTGCACAACCTCTGGCTCTTGCACTAGTAAAAATAACAAGTTTTCTTCTCATTTGACTTCTCTGAACATATATGGTTTAAAAATGTTGGGGTGGCTCAGCTTTGTGGAAATGCAATCCTCCTTCAAGTCAGCAGGGAGAAGAAGGAAGTGGAGCCAAGCATCTTGTGACCCTCTGGACAACTGTGTGATTCAGGGTGGAAGATAACAGGTGACAGAGAGTCAGAGCAGGAGATCATCCAACAAGAAATCTCCTGTTTGTGCCACACTTACACCTCCTGCCTGGGGCAGGGCACAGATCCTTTCTCCAAGCAGCCACTCCTGTGCCACAGCTGTACCTGCAGGCCATGCTGACCCACACCAGGACAGAAGCACCTTATGCACCACTGGAACACACTGACCAGATCAGCTTCCAAATTATTGCTGTTTGTTAAGTAGTAACAATAAAAAAAAAAAAATCAGTCTCAGCTGTAAAGCAAGGAGCAGCTAGAAAAGGCTTAACTTGTAAAATGGGCAAAAAAATCACACAGACAGACTGGAAGCTCTGCACCATGACATCCAGCCACTTCAATGAATCCCTAATGAGTGTTAAACACAGAAGTGCACACACCAGAGCCACCTCCTCCCTCAACAAGAAAGGTAAACTAAGGCAATTCAGTGTGTACCCCCCAAATTAAATCATCTCTCACGTCACATGCACAAAGGGAGAACACTTGCAATTCTTGAAAGCAGCCTGAGATGAGAACTAAACCACTGTTCTCTACCAAGCATTTTGGGGGTGCAATTTGTTTATTGTGCTCGGGTGATTTATTCCCAGCAGATTCCACATTAAGGAGAGAACTCTGTTTAGTTTAGTTAATCACACACTTTACAAGTACAGTGGTCATAAGTTGTTCTGCATGGGAAGCACAAGGCATCTTCACATGCAGCAAGTTAAAAAAAACCCCAATGTCATTCAACACTTGAAATTTTTTCTTCAGTGGAAGTTAATCTCACCTACTCCTAAAGCTTGTATTACTGAAAAAATGAAAATGAAATGGCAACTTTTTGGACCTTACTGACAACAAAAACCCGAAGAGGAGCAACAGACCATGAGCAACAAAGATATGTGAAAGCACTAATAAGACCACTCTTGCCAAGTTTGAATGAAGTCCTAAATCCTAAATGATTCCATGATAAATGTACATGGCTCAAGCCTGGCTGAGCATTCCTGCACAGGCTGGAACACACCACACACCAACCGTGGTAAGGAAACCCCACTTAGATTAAAACAAGAGCATCAAAATGACAGTATTTAGTTTTTTGGCACTCTGGAACATGATGAGCATCTCTGATTTATCCTTTGGTTTATATATGTTTCTCTCAGCGTACAGAGAAGGGAGAAGCCAAGAGCAGCTTGCTAGAGATGAATTTTGAGAGACTCAGGTCACTGAGGCCCCACACTGCCCCAAGCTGAAGCAGCAGAGCAGTCTGCAGTCTGAAAAGGTAAAATGCAAGTGGTCAACACATTGAGAAGATGAAGAGTTATTGCAATGAAGCTGAGGAGCACCAGAGTGAAATGAAAGGTATCCCATGGGACAAGGAACTGTAGAAGAACACACACCAGAAAGTGTACATGTCTTTAGAGAGGAGCTCCTGCACAGAACAAGGTGAGTATATACAACCCCCTTCCCCACTCCCAGCCCACCCTTTCTTTTTCTTAAAGTTTCAAGAGTGAATGAGAATGCAGAGACTTTAGGACAAACAAATCCATCAATCAGTTGTTTCACTCTCTGAAACTACTTTTGACTGTGAGAGATGCCACAATTAACATTGCTAAAGTCTTGATGTGTTTTCAGCAAGACCCGAGGAAGGACTAGCCCACATCTCAAATTCCACAGAGGGTTCACAAGGAGCTCAGAGGGCACTCCCTGACTGTCCTGGAGCAGCACTGGTTGTTTCCATGTGAATTCCCATTACTGCTGCCTTTAACCACGTGTTTGGTGGCTTCATCAGCAGCTCTGAACCCCAGGCCCAGGAGGTATCACCAGCTGGAAGACCTGACACACCTTCATTTGAAGTAAACCCTGAACCACAGATCACAGGGACATCTGAGCACCAAGTGCTTCAGGCTGCTCCTCTGCTTCCAAACTCCTTCCCAAGGCAGACACTGCTGTTCTCTGCCAGCATCCTTTCACACCTGGAATTTTGTTAGAAGATTAAATAGATGGAGGGCACCTCAGAACAGGGGAATTAGTGACAAGGCAACTGATCCCTGGTGATGTGGGAAGCACAAAAAGAGATGAGGGTAACAGGATGAGAGTTGGAGACTCAATAAAGGCACATAGTGTTTCATCAAAAGTTCTCCAGCAGTGCTCTAGTATTTGTGCACAGCAGCAGAGGTACATATGAAAACAAGGTAAATAATATTTTTGTTCAGCTCCTGCAGTCAGTTCTCCAACATCTGTACTGCACTATTTGATCATTACTTTGCATTCTCATTAAATAATATTATAATAATAATCATTACCATCATCAATCTCAGCTATTCAAAGATGACCAGGAGGAAGTTCAGTAGTAACTGCAACTTCTGAAGGATATCTGGAAATTATGGGCTCAAAAAATGAAAATGTATACTAATCTGCATATTCTCTAATCATTAGTTAAGTTGCTGATCCATATCATAACAACTTAGGATGAGATACACACATGCCTACACAGACAAGAAAGGAGACACCTGAAATTATTGAAAGCTGAGTCCCCTGTATCTCTGGGATACTTTTCCCATCACTACCAGATGCAAAAGACACCCATTTTATACATGAGCAGGGCCTTTACTGAAGATAAAGTTGTGGCTTCATGGCAAAGCCACACTCAAACACTTTTAGTAGCTCAGGTATCAAAAACCACTCAGCTGTGTTAACTCCACCTGAGCTTCTCAGCAGGGCTGTGCTGCAAACTACCCTGCCCCTTGTGAAGTCCTTCCTCACCTACCCAAAGCAGTCCTCCTCCAGCTTTTTCTGTATCGTGCCCTACGGAGACACTCCAAGGGATTCAATTTTTCCATTCTGATGGAAATTCTGATCCCTTGCTCACCAAAGTCCTTCACCAAGTGTGATTTGCCACACTGATACTGAAACATAAACAGTGGGCTCTACAGGGTCATGATCAACTCCTGTTGGACTTGATGACCCTTCCAGGTGATACCACCATTAGTGAAGTTCTTCAGTGTCACCAACATTCCCATATGCAGTTCACCAAATATTTATCACTGCACAGTCTTTTGCAACCTCCTGACCCTCCAGCCACGGATCCCCCCGTGCCAGCAGCCTGACACAGCCACCACAGAGGAGCTGCACCCCCCCCTTTCAGCCCTCACCGTTTCAAAGCTGCCCTTGTGCATCAGGTCAATGGGAGGCCTGAAGAGATCTGCCAGCGTCGTGAGCTTCTTGTCCACGGCCCCTCCGTTCCGGAGCTCCTGCTCCTGCCGAACTGCACCGCCCCAAGAGGAAAGGAGGCTGAGTTAGACAAAAGATACTCACAGGGTGGATTTATGGTTGGCTGAACGCTCAAACACAAAACTTCAGCACTAGGCACAGGGTTAGACCCCACCAAACAAGATCAGCTGGTATGTAAGGGCAGAATCCCACTTGTCTCGGCTTTCTCTCACTTTAACTTTTAAAAAACATCTTAACAAACCTAAGTATCAGCAGAGAGGGGTCATATACCAGTATTTGAAAACAAATAAGTCAAAAGAAGCCATGACTTATCCCCAGTGATGCTTTAAAAGGGGAAACTGAGATAGATTGTAGCAATGTAATATTTCTACTGTAGTGTTTCCATTACTTGACTGTGGGGCAATCCCACAGAAAAGAAAATCCAAACAGATTTAGTTTATATGGGGAAATCTCTTTGGATGTTTATATTTAATATCAAATCTTCCCACAATCAGCTCAAGGTACCACTGTCTCGGGTGAACAGGTTTTCAGCCTTGTTTATGCCCAAGTACCACACTTTGAACATGTCTTTTAACTGCATCAGTTCCACCCAAAATAACACAGAACATATTTCCTACACAGACCTGATCATGTACAATAAAGGTAAATCACAGCAGATACACAATGTATTTTATGGAACCAAGTCAGCTGAAATGGGCAATAACTATCCCAGGACCAAAAATCTTCCAGTGTGGAAGGAGATGTCAATGGGCCAAAGTGTACAAACCATGTCTGAGCAGACACACAGGGAATAAAGCATCCCTGTGGAATAGGCCTAGGAGACAGGAAATAAACTGGACTTTCATGGCCAGGGCTGCTTTTCCAGAGACAGACAGACAGTGATGTTCATCTATAAAGTTTTACCAAAAAGCATGACAAAGTTTGACCATAAACCCTCACAACGAATTACATATTGTGCATCTTTAAATGTCTTAGAGTGGAATCCCAGAATGGTTTGGGTTGGAAGGGACCTTAAAGCTCATCCAATTCCAACCCCTGCCAGGGGTAGGGACACCTTCCACTAGACCAGATTGGAAGATGGTGAGAAGAAAAATTGTGATTCTGTAAATGGTGCATTTTCATTTACACAACTGCCAGTGATTTTTGTAGTTAATGAGTTCGTTATTACTGCAAAACTCTCACCAAACCTATCAGGGGAAACAAAGTAATTATGAACACTTATTTTCAGTTTGGCAGCCCACACTTGTGTGGGAACATGGTCCCACTTCTGTGGGAGCCCAGGAACAAGGGACAAGACAAGAGGAAACAGCCCCAGTCTGCACCAGGGGAGGTTGAAATTGGATATTTGGGAAACTTTCTTCACAGAAAGGGCTGTCCAGCCCTGGCACAGCTGCCCAGGGCAGGGGTGGAGTCCCCATCCCTGGAGGGATTTAAAAGCCATGTGGATGTGGCACTTGGGGACATGGGTTAGTGGTGGCCTTGGCAGTGCTGGGAGAATGTTTGGACTCAATGGTCTTGGAGGGCTTTTCCAACCTTAACGATTCTACGGTTACACCTCTGGAATACTCCAGCAACATCAGCAACAAGAACTGCACAACAGCCATAACTCAGCTGTGAAATATCTGGTGTTGTGCTGTCACAATGATATTCTGTGAAACTTAATGGATTAAACAACAGCCAGTGCTTTGGCATTTGGAAATCCTGTGTATGAACAGACAGGGGCAAACAGCAATTCAAGTCATGAGAACCTCGTGTGTGGCCAAGGAAGAAGCCTCAGGGCTACTCAAATGTAATTCAAGTGCCAGAATGACCACTGCCTAGCCAAGAAATATTTAGTGGGTGAATTTAATTTCTACTTGGGTGTTAGAGATTCTTCCCCCTTTTCTACTCCCTCTAGAACACAAAAAGAGGTTTTTTTCGGAGTTAGCAAGAAAGTATTTGCCATATGAAAGCAGACAGAATACACCATGATAATAATGATTCTCTAAATCTAATAATATTATTCAAAAAAACTTCTATACCATAGGCAATTTAAAAACCATTCAGCAACTGAAAGCTGCCCTAGCCTACAAGGGAAACAATTTTTCAATCTTATTTGAATTGAAAGTAATAAAACAGAACATCAGGCTTACTGATCTATAGACACTTACTGGTTTCTGTCTGAAAATCCCGAAAGCCATCGAATATGGAGCGCGCAGGTCTGCGTCTTTTAGGGGCTTAAAAAAAAACAAACAAAATTCCAGAGTTATGTCAGAAGTGTCTTATCAAAACAAACACATATTAGTACTTTCCATTGCATGTGTGAGAAAACAGAATAGGAATCCAAAGCAGGGATGATGTGGAAGAAGAAGAAGGAACAGAGGAGGATGGAAACAGGTGGTTTGTAAATCCCGTTTTCCAACACATCCTGCCTCCAGCAAACCCTACCTCAGAAACAACACAGGTATCAACAACACACAGATGTTTAAAGTCGTCCCCTTCTGATGGGCTCACCAAGGCCCATCAGCACGTAGGGGCAGCGCTGTCACAGCATCACCATGTCACAAATCCAGTCAAGATTTTACCAAAGGCCTTCAAGTGGATGAAAATCTTTAAAAGATTAAACCCCACGGGAGAATATTTTCTTTGTAAGGAAACACATTTGTTTTTTTCCACAATGCAGTTCTATTCTTTTCTAAACTCTCATTCTGACCCTGTCCCAACTTCTTGGCTGGACTGCCAACAGCCACATTTTTCCATTAGATCCAGTGTCACTGTTTGCAAGAAAACCTTCAGAACTGATTATCTGCAGCTGGACAGAGACAGCAGCCCAGGCAGATGTCAGAAATAGTACCCCCAAGTCCCACTGAAGTCCTAAGGTCCGGCACAACCACTGCACTTGGAATGAAAACAGAACCGCTCGCTGGGACTTGTTGCAGCTCTTCATGTGCTTTACTATCAACTGAAAGCAGAACAATTTTATACAGAACTTTCAAAGCCACACTGCTACAAGACATAATAAATAACAAACAAATTAAAGTAAGACAAATGCAATCTATACCCCGTGGAAGCATGTTGATACAGACTACCATGGAAAAAGCCTGAATAAGGAACATGCTTGTGAATAACATTTCAACTCCAGTGAGTAACATCTTCACCCCGAGTGCTTAGGGACAAGCACAGCCCACTAAAGCCAACCTCAGAGCAACTTCAACTCAGCTGAGAACAGCAACTGAAGGACCACTTCAGCAAAAGCAGCACGTCCCTGCAGGCTCAGCCCCAGCCTGGCAGCACAGGTGAACAGGTTCTCAGCAGCCCAAGCAGCTGCTTCCCTGGTTATCCTTTGCACTGCAAGATGGGATCCGTGTATCTGGCAGAGCACAAATACACAGGATCACCTCTTCAACTGGAAGAACACCTGGGCTCACACCACCACCTCAATATGACGCTGCTAAAACCAGTAAGCAGCACCTCCCCTGCTTTGAGGTTAGAGCTGAGAAGACAAATGAAGCATCTCTCCAGGTTCAGCTACTTTTTCAGGCTGCTTCATGTTTGAAACATAAGTGGCACTGGTGCATCGAAGGGCCAGGAGGGCATCACTGACCCAGGTCCCCTCAGCTGGTGGTCAGTGACTGTGACTGAGATCATTGTGTGACAGGTGGGTAGAACCTGACCAACCATTAGGGTCAGCAGATCTTAATCCTGCACCACTTAGATTCCTGAACCCACAGGAGCCTACAGATCTTTGTCAAAAACTCTGTCAGGCCACAGGAACAAGTACAGAGCTTGTTTGTCTTCAGAGAGGCCTCAGCAGGTCACCTTCCTCTGGAACCACATCCCAGCTTGTGCATCCTGGCTAAAGACCTCTCCGATGCTGAAACAAAGGTTCAAGAGAAATCCAGTTCCCAGGTAAACCTGAAGCTTGGTCTCCTTCTCCTTCCTAACACAGGAACTAAACAAAGAAAAAAGAGCATTTCCTGTGGGTGTGAGACCACTTTAGTGATGAGCACTTGCATGGCCTTCCTTGATAAAAAGGGCAAGGTTCTCAATCCACTTGACACGGCAAAAGTCAGCCCAGAAATGGCCTGATCAACACAGGAAGGACAGAGACAAGAAAAGTAGCTGCATGGTGCAGCTTAAAGAGCAAATTAAATTCCTAAATGAGAAATGGAGAAAGCTATGGGTAATAATCATACAGGTCACCCCTTCCTTTTGATCTCTCATCTCCCTGGGAAGCATGCATTTGTCCTCTTCATTTTCACTTCATTTTCACAAAGATTGAGCCAAGGCTCACTCTCCCATCCCAGGACCTTGAACACTTCCACAGCAGTATCCCATGGTTCTGAACCCCCAGAATGCAGATGTGTACTTAATTAAGTTAATTGGCTGTTGCCTCACCAGGTCTCATGAAACAGGAGTTAGCAAAATTAGTACCTCTGGGAACGTAGCATCTCTCATGTGTGAGGTTTTCGATACCACTGGTGTTACTTCTTCATATTCAGCAAGTTCTGGTTTTCTTTTGTCACTTAGTTCATCTCAATGTAAAGAAAACAGAAACAAAATAACAACACAAGCCTACCTCCAAACAAGGGCTCAGGCTCTACTAAAATTTCCTGCTTTTGAGGAATTGGAGCTCGTACTTCATCCCTATCAAAGGAGAAGGAAAAAAAAAGATCAGAGATGGTAATATTTCAAAGGAATGTATAAACCACATTTCACTGTGCTCCAAAGGCTCCTGCAACTTGAACCAGCTAAGGATGCTGCTGAACCACTGCACAGAATGAAGAGATTTGGGGTTAAAAGGGACCTCGAGAGAGCATCTATTCCCCCTCATGGCACTGCTGCAGGACTTGGTACCCACTGCATCAAGTTCTGGATTACCTTTGATAGAAGATTACACAAACTCCTGAGTGACTCGATCCCAGGCTTTGTCAATCTACTATTTAAACATTTTTTCTTCTTTAATAACTTGGTTAGAACTTGGAAAAGTTCTTAAAACTTACAAAAGCTGTTAATTACCCCATTTGCCATCCTCCTTCTCTGATTATCTACACAGAGAGCAAAAACTTCCTTATTACCAGCTTTCTTCTATTAGAAGACCTTTTGCTTTCACTTAAAACCCAGAGCTCCCTCTTATCCAGAGGAAGGAAAACAACATGGTCAAAATGGCCATTTCCCCCCATTTCAAGCAATTCTTGGTTCACATAACTGGGCTCCCTCACATTCAACAGCTCAGTTATGCTTGCAGAGATTTACAGATAACCTGAAATTACAATTAGGATAAGAAAGGAAATCACAAGGGCTCTGAAACATCATTTAATCAGTGTAGTTAGCTGGCCCTTGGATCTGTGTGGAGGAGGACATGGGTTCATCCATTCCTACATCCTGCCTATGAACTCCCTCTTTCCTCAGACTCCTCCAAGGTGTAAAGTGTGCACTTGATGGTTCTTGGCTGTGCAGGTTTCAAAAAGTAACTCATAATTTCAGCAGGATGCACTAACCTTGCTGTTAACCTCCACATCTTTGACTGCTGTGTGCAGCTAGTTACTCTCCATTTGCATATTTACTGTTCTCTCTTCCTAGGAGGAACACTAAGCTGACCAGCACCTGGAGGGTGTCAAGTATAAAAAAGAAAGTACTCCAAGAAAAACTTCAGTCTTAAGTCACTAGTGTGCCAAAAGTTGTCTAGAAGTAAGAATGCCAACACCTATAAATGCAGAGTTTTACCTTCCATTACCTGGCAAATGCTCAAGCAGGAAGGCACCTGACATGAGCTATAAAAGTCAGTGCCACAACAATTGTTTAAATTTATACATGTGCTTCAGAAGAATAAGGGGGAAGGATTTTCCTCTATCTTTTTCCCAAAGTGGACGATTTTCATAAAGACAAAAGCCTGGCCAGGGTTAATTTACAGTATTTAATGAATGTGATTTATACCAACTCATTTCCACTGAAAACATTCCATTTGTCCCAAAAAGACTCATCAACAGGCAGCACCAAAAGCCTTTCTGCCATGGTCAAGTGGAAAAACTCTTCCCTTTACAGGCACCTGATGTCCAAGACACTGATACAGATGTTGTAGCTGCTGATTCCTCTGCACACTGGTGGACATGGTCTGGCCTTTCCAGTGCAAGACAGGGATAAAACACCTCCAAACAAACAAAAACCAAATACAAAAGCAAACAAAAACAAACAAACAAAAAAAGGTAACAAGTGACACAATGAGACAAAACAGCCTCAAGTTGTGCCAGGGGAGGTTTAGATTGGATATTAGGGAAAATGTCTTCACTGAAAGGGTTGTCAAGCACTGGCACAGGCTGCCCACGGAGTGGTGGAGTCATCATTGCTGGAAGTGTTCAAAAAACATGTAATTGTGGCATTTGAGGACATGGTTTAGCGGTGAGCATGGTGGAGTTGCTGGGTTGACAGTTGGACTTCATGATTTTAAAGGTCTTTTCCAACCTTAACAATTCCAGAATTCTATAAAACGGGACTAAATCGTTGTAAAGTAAAATTTCTGGAGCAATTTAAAAGTGAGAATCTCTTATTACCGGATCCTCACTTTAATGTCTTGTGCTTTGTTTGTAAAAAAACACTATGTGTAAGCTACAGAAAACTTCTGAAGTACAATACAAGAGACTAATTTCTGCTGGTCTACAAACCAAGTCACGTAACAACTTCATTTACTCAGAACAGTGTTGGAGTAATCAATTTAACGGGGGATCAAAGCAGCAGGTACTGCAGGGAGCTGGGGTCAGGTTAGGAGTGACAGCTGCCTTGTTTGCTCTGCCTGACACTGTGATGTTTTTAGGACAGACTTATCCCAGGTACGTACTCGGTGTGCGGGCGCACAGCCGACACCCCCGCGGAGCTGGTGCTGGGCTCCTCCGCGATCCCTCCGCCGTCCAGGAACATCGTGACAGCCATCTCCAGGTTATTGTTGCAGGCCTCCAGCATGTGCTTCCCCACGCTCTCGCTGGCACCTGGAATGCCAAGGGAAAATCAAAGCGTTTTGATTGGAGGCGCCCAGAACAGTTTCCTCTCTCAAAGCGTTAATAATTAGGAAGAGCGGTTCATCAGTTGCCATTTATCCCTGAAGTACAACTATGGAATGAGGCAAACATACATTTCTCAGGGGGAAGGGAAAGCCTGCACAGAGGACAGACGGACTTCTTCCTGATGGCAACAGAAAATCTAGTGGAAGCCATCTGAGGGGTTTTCTAGAGGTCAGACCTTCTCCTGGTATAATTTTTCCTGGTATGTGGATCTGTTAAAGTCCAGAGGAGGCCATGGAGATGCTCCAAGGGCTGGAGCCCCTCTGCTCTGGAGCCAGGCTGGGAGAGCCAAGGGTGTACAGCTTGGAGAAGAGAAGGATCCAGGAGACCTTAGAGCCCTTTCCAGGGCCTGAAGGGGCTCCAAAACACCTGGAGAGGGATTTTGGACAAGGGCCTGGAGGGACAGAACAAGGGGGAATGGCTTCCCACTGAGAGCAGGGTTAGATGGAATGCTGGGAAGAAATTCTTCCCTGTCAGGGTGGTGAGGCCCTGGCACAGGTTGCCCAGAGAAGCTGTGGCTGCCCCATCCCTGGAAGTGTCCAAGGCCAGGTTGGACAGGACTTGGAGCAACCTGGGATAGTGGAAGGTGTCCCTGCCCATGGCAGGGGGTGGAACTGGATGAGCTTTATTGCCCCTTCCAACCCAAACCATTCCATGATTCTGTGAATTTTCCAAACACAAGTAGGCATACACAAAGAAAAATTAAAACCTGATTTAACATTTTAACAGGGAGAATACTAAATCAGCTGCTAAAAGATTTTTTTACTGACTTGTAACAGATATTTAGAGCTGGAAAAAAAGGCTCCCTGATTAACTGATTGTGCTGAAAGGCAAAAACAAAACAGCAGAAGTTCAGTTCATATAAGAAGGAAAAAAAACAGCTAAGGGGGAGAAAGTAGCACTTGTCTAGAGAGTTCTTTGTATAATGACTAACATTCATTAAAATCATAGAATCACAGGATGATTTGGTTTGAAAGGGGCCTTAAAGACCACCCAGTCCCACCCCATGCCATGGACAGGGACACCTTCCACTAGACCAGGTTGCTCCAAGCCCTGTCCAACGTGTCTTTGAACACCTCTTAAAGAGCAGTTAATCCCAGTTTAAATCTTGCTGCCACGGATGAAAGAGCAATTTCTAAAATCACTTTGAACTTCTCCTCCAAAACCATCCCATCAGCAGAAGCTCCCTCAGCAAAGGAAGCTCTCCTGCACCCAACCCTTTAAGTGTCTAACTGAGTACAGCACCTTCTCCACAGGTGGTGGGCTGCCAAAGAGCTTATTTTCCTATGGAAAGGCTGGTAGAGAGGAACAGCAGTAAAATGCAGCTAAACCAGTCTGGGAGCAGCTTTGGGATCTGTAGGAATTTTTCCTAAGTTCACCAAAACAAATAAAATGCTTTGCCCAAAACCAGGCTCACAGATAACATCAGTCCAGGCAAAACACATTCAGATGTTTCTCAAGATTTTCTGGGAAAGGCACAAGAAGCTCCAGCTCAAACAGAGAATACACTTTGAAACTGAACTGAGAGCAACCAGTTCTAAATAACCTGCACATCAAACCACAGAGAAAGCCAAACTGACTGAGGGAACTGGTTTCCTAAACACCCGACCTGCTGTGACAAGCGTGTCAGGATGGCAGGCAGCTGTATTGTAAGACCTTAATCAAGGTGAAGAAAGTGCCAAATAAAAACTAGTGACATCCCAAAAAATGACGTGAAGTTCGGGTTCTCCCCACAAACTGTTCTTTGGCATTTTCAGCTCACTTCAATGTCAACTGTAGCAATGAAACCACACCTGTGAGTCTGGGACACACACACACCACACACCACCCCACACCTCAGTCTCCAGTCATGCAAAGCCATTCATTTGCAAGAACTAGAATAAAAATGATATATCAACCCTCTGCTATTTAAACAGACACTGACACAGAAAGTGCTTGCACTGATTCCTCATCACTCCTGAGCAAAGAGCCATCACATGAAAGCTTCCAGTTCTTGTGCTGGCAAACAGAAAATGGTAAATATTTGTTAAGCTTCAAAGCAAATTTCACAGATATCCCATCATTTCTTTGGGAAAGACATGCAGGAGCCATCTCCTGGATGAGAGCACTAAAGAAACACAATTCTGCCATCAGATAAAAGAAAAGCATCAAGGACTATTTCTCCTCATCCCTCACTATCCAACACTGTAGAGTACTCCCTCAGTCTCTTCCCCATGGACAGGAGTGATTCCATACACACACAACTCCAAGCTGGAAGCTGCTAACACAAACCACTGAGGTGTGAACTTGGAGCACCTGTCACACCACACCAGCATCAGCCAGACAAGCTCCACGACGACACACTTTTGCATATAACCTTAAATTCTATGAAAATAGAAAAAACAAAGCTTCAAAACTCCACTCGAACAGTGGAGGGGCAAAGCCCAGCAAGTTCTTTTTTTTATCTTGGAAAACATAAAGAGGGGTGTTCTTACATTCAACATAAAACACAGAAGCACAAAAAGCCGTCAGGAAGAGCAAACAAGCACAGCTGTACCTGTTCTGGTTGTTTTTAGCAAATATCTCACACATAGGCACATACTACAGTGAAAACGTTTGATGTGAGTTCTTTTTGTTCACGGGGGTTTACTCTGAAAGGATTCTTTAGGGATGGCTGAGAGATCAATGATTTCCCTGTTCACACGCGGTGTTCACATCCCTGTTCAGGGTTTGAGTGCATCCAAGTCCAGGGACACAACCTGAAACGGAGCTGGTTCGAGCAACCCAACTAAAAGCAGTTTTACTTCTCTCTGGCTGTTTAGTTGATACATCTTATTAAACACCCCTGCAGCATCTGACACGCAAAGCCATCAGCGAGGGGGAACCACAGCGAAGCAGATTAAGCACAAAGTGGGTCAAGCGCTCCGAGTACACAGACCGGCGCTGTCAGGGGCTGTCACCTGACGCAAACTTCCACGTAAGAGCGACCTGCCACCTCCGCGAGCAAACTCAACCCTCCGCAAGTCGCCAGGACCGCACAACAATTACGTATTTTCATACGCGGACTTGGGGCTCCGCTCCCGGCGTTCCCCGCAAGAGCGGGACGGGGCTCCCGGGGCGAAGCGGAGCCGGGAGGGAGGGCAGGACGAGCGCGGAGGGAGCGGGACACGCACCGGGATAACCGGGAGGAACCCCCAAGCCGCCGCTGGGAGGGAGGGGAACTCCCCGCCACGCACGGAGCCGGGGGGGCCCGGGGCAGCTCTGCCGCAGCGGGCGGGCCCCGGGGCGCGCCCGCGGACAGGCCCGGGGGCCGCGGGGCAGGGCGCCCGGAACCGCTCCGCCT